TAGCGGCATATACCTTTTTTTGTTTTGATTTGGTTTTGTTTTGTTTTGTTTCTTGAAACAGGATTTCTCTGTGTAGCCCTGACTGTCCTGGAACTCACTTTGTAGACCAGGCTGGCCTCAAACTCACGGAGGTCCGCCTGCCTCTGCCTCTGCCTCCTGGGTGCTGAGATTAAAGGTATGCACCACCAGTGCCCTGTGTGGCACATATTTTTAATCCCAACACTCGGAGGCAGAGGCAGGTGGATGCCTGTGAGTTCAAGGACAGCCTGCTCTACACCGAGAGCTCCAGGACAACCAGACCTATATAGTGAGATGCTGCCTAAAGAAAAAAGAAATTATTAAAGTTTCTTTTTTGTTGTTTTTTGAGACAGAGTTTCCCTATGTAACGGTCCTAGCTGTCCTGGAGCTAGCTCTTGTAGAAGAAGCTGGCCTGGCCTTGAACTCACAGGAATTCACCTGCCTCTGCCTCCAGAGTGCTGGGATTAAAGGAGTGCGCCACCACCTCCAGGTTTTAATTAAAGTTTTAAAACCCCATTCCGGTCAGAGTCTGAAGCAAGAGAACCCCTGGGGAACTGACTACTTGGTGGGACCAGCGCGGCGACGCCGCCACCTCGCGGCATGTTCTGGAAGTGCAATCAGTGGTTGTGGACAGGGTGTTATGTGCGGCTCTAGCCACACGGGGGCGAAAGAAGACAGTCGCCTGGTGCAGCGACACGGTTTCTCTGTGTAGCCCTGGCTGTCCTAAAACTTGCTCTTTCTTACACCAGACTGGCCCCTGGGCGGTGAGCTTTTAAACACAGAATTCATAAATAAGATGTTGTGTGTATGTGTACACACGGGAGCCCGTGGGGCGGTCACAAATCGGTAGTGTCCTGGGGACTGAACTCAGGCTGCCTGGCTGAGCTATCTCACAGGAGAAATATTTGTATACCCCAAGTCTTCCTCTCTCTTTCTCTCTCCACCATTCATCGTGGAGAGTGAGTAAAAGGCTTCCCTACTACAACTGAGCCCCTAGTGGACAGAGCAGCCTTAGTGGGTTTAAGAATATTGCATGGCATTTGGGAACTTCACCAGGAAACAATTTTACTAGATCCAAATTTCAAATATATCTAGAGATGAAGAAGAAATGAAACTAGCCAGGCAGTGGTGGTGCACGCCTGTAATCCCAGCACTCAGGAGGCAGAGGCAGGTGGATCTCTGTGAGTTGGAGGCCAGCCTGGTGTACAGAGCGAGTTCCAGGACAACCGGGGCTACACTGAGGAACCGTGTCCTGAAAGGAAGAAAGAAAACAATAAAGAAGAAATAAAGGACTTGTTGGTACAGAGATTCGGTGGGGAGAGAGAAATTCAAATATTTCATCCCCAATGTCCCCATGTAATAAGACTGGGTCTCATGGAACCCAAGTCAACCTGCCAACTCGTTATGTAGCCCAGGCTGGACTTGAACTCCTGATCCTCCACCTCCTGAGTGTCTGGATGCAGAGGCTGGCTGGATTCTGCAACTGACCAGGGTGGTTTACCGACTTTATTACAACTTAGCCACTGAGAGCAATTCTTTTTTTTTTTTTTTTTTTTTTATATGGGTTTTCCTTTTTAAAAAATCCGGGCTGTGGGGAACTAGATCTTGTAGACCAGGCTGGTTTGAACTCATGGAAACCGCCTGCCTCTGCCTCCTGAGTTCTGCGATTAAAGGTGTGCACCACCACCGCCCTGCCCACTGAGAGCAATTCTATGTGGGGACTCCTGTTCCCTTGTGGTCAAGGATGATCCGGTGCAGCGTGTTCTTGCCTCTGTTTAGGTGACATGTCCTTGGGTCCTAAGACTAGGAACGTTCCTGAAGTCATTAGTGTTTTAAGTTGTTGGTTTTGCTTGTGTGTGCGCGGTGGGGGTTCTGCGACACCCATGGAAGCCGTTTCCCTCCTCCCGTGGGTCCTGGGTAGCCAGCTCCGGTCCCTGGGCTCAGCATCACGGGTCCCAACCCACCGAGTGTTTCCTTGGCTCTGTTTTTATTGGGTGTCACTGTATCACCCTGATTAACCTGGAATGCACAGAGAGTCATTTGTATCCCAAGTGTTGGCTTCAGATGTATTTATTTTATTTAATATGTGTGGTGTTTTGTTTAGATGCATGCCCAGTGCCCACTGAGACCAGGTGCCGGATGCCCTGGAACTATACTTACAGACGGTGCTAGGGGATTGAACCCTGGTCCTCCGCAAGAGCAGCCAGTCTCCCCAGGGCTTCTCGATGAATCTTGATGACCTGTGTGTGCAGTGGACACAACACCCACACCTGGGTGTCAAAGGAGGAGCAGGAGGCCCGGGACCTGCGGGAGAGCCCGCCTGCCATGCATCTCCAGCCCACATGAAGCTGGATGCAGGAGTGTCATCTCGGAACCCTACAGTGGGGCGGCCGTGCAGACAGGAGACTTCCTGGGGAGCAGCAGACAAGACTTTCGGTGAAGACGCAGCTGAGCTGTGACCTCCGCAGGCACGCAGTGGCATTCCTGCGCTCATACACAAAAAGGCTTTGTCGAAATGTGAAAGGGGGGCTGGAGAGATGGCTCAGAGGTTAAGGGCACTGGCTGCTTTTTCAGAGGTCCTGAGTTCAATTCCCGGCAACCACATGGTGGTTGATTTGATGCCCTCTTCTGGTGTGCAGGAAAGCATGTTGTATATAACCAATAAATAAATCTTTAAAAAAATGAAATGAATAAGCCGGGCGGTGGTGGCGTACACCTTTAATCCCAGCACTTGAGAGGCAGAGGCAGGCAGATCAAAAACCAAAATAAATAAATAAATAATGAAATGAATAAAAAGGAAAGCAAAGACATATACCAGACTAAAGTGCTCTGACCTCTGACCTCCGCAGAAGTGCAATGGTGCCCCCACCACGACCACTATGAGCCACACATCCATGTACATAAAATAAGTCAATCTTTAAACTTAAGTGAAAAGAAGGTGGGATTAGTGGTAGAGCCACCCAACATCCACACTTCGTAAGTGGTCTCTCCAGGCCCCATCCAGGCTGCCCCTGTGCTGTCGGCCTCTTGCGGGTCACTTTCATTTCCAAACGGCAGCGATTCTTGGCTATTGTCACCCGTTCGCCCGCCCCCTCTGCAGTTTAGCTACAGGACCTGTGCCCTGGGTGACCCTGCATGGCCTTTGCTGCTCTCTGGGCTGTGGGGACAGAGCGCCTCGGGGGAGTCACTGACACACCGGGGAAGAACAGACTGATTCTGCTATCGAAGGCTGAGGTCTGCGTGTCCTTGGGCGCATCCCCTCCCTGTGGCCTCCCTGTCTATCTGACTCTCACTGTTGGCTCCTAATCCTCCTGTCTCAGCCTCCTGAGTGGCGGGTGGGTGGGTGGCAGCTGATCCCGGTGAGGGGCACAACAGACGCCAATCTCCCTCGCTTAGGACACCTGTCCCAGGATCTGGGGCCCTAAGCCAGGATGACCTCTCGGTTCTTTCTTTTAATTTTTGAGACAGGGTTTCTCCGTGTGGCCCTGGCTGTCCTGGAACTGGCTCTGTAGACCAGGGTGGCCTCAAACTCAAGAGATTTGCTTGCCTCTGCCTCCCAAGTGCTCTTAGGAGGCTGAGACAGGAGGATTAGGAGCCAACAGTGAGAGTCGGAAAGTCTGAAGCCACAGGGATGGGGATGCGCCCAAGGACACTCAGACCTGAGACCTCGCCATGCCCACCCAGGGAACCTCAGGTTCTTCACTGCTTCTGGGAAGCACCTTGAGGACATAGGGTCCTAGCGGGAGGTCTTGGGATTTATCTTTGTGTGTGTGGCGGAGTCAAGGATAGCCTTCATTCAAACACCTCAGTCTCCTCGCTCCCAGGGTAGGATGTGGGCCTTTCGGATGAGGGGGTGGGGCAGGTGGTGGTGTCAGGTGCAGTGTCTCTGAATGCCGTGTATGTGATAGCCATGCCTAGCTTTCCTGTGGGCCCTGCCTCCTGCTGTGTATTAGTTACTAAAAGTTGGAAGAAGGCAGAAGTTGGAACACTTTGGGGTCCCAAAGCTGGAAACAGTTGGGGAGAGGGCGTGTTTGACTTGATCAGGCGCAGGTGACTCTGCAGGCTGTGCGGTGTGTTCCGGTTCCCACCACGCTGGAATGGGCTTTGTGAAGCAGCTGTCTTTTTTGTTTGGTTTATCAAGACAGCTTTGGAGCCTGTCCTGGAACTCACTCTGTAGACCAGGCTGGCCTCGAACTCACAGAGACCTGCCTCCCAAGCGCTGGGATTGAAGGTGTGCGCCACCACCGCCCGGCTAGAAGCAGCTGTCTTTAAGCCATTTCTGCTCAGTTAGGGACCCCAGTGAAACTCACCGGCTCAGCCAGCTGCACTCTGAGCTGTCCTCACTTGTCACACGCTCCCCTCCGCAGCTTGGGTAAACAGAAGTGTGCTGTGTCTCCCCCACCCACTTCCCATGGCCCTTGCCTGGTGTCAGAATGGCATGACACCCACCCCGCACATCACGCATCCCAGGTTCTTCGTAGATAAATGGGTGGGGTCCACTGACCAGCACCATCCAACACTCTGGTCACTCCCGGCATCCTGCTGGGCTGTCCCGGCGGGCAGGGCAGTTCCAGGGGTGGACAGTGGGCAGGTACCCCCCAGGGGCAGCTTGCCTTCATAAAGGGACACGGTGTTATGGCGGGGAACCAAAAGACCCAGGTATACAACCAGTGCTACTTGCAGCTCAAAACCCAGGGTTTTGTTGTGTTGGTTTTCTGAGACAAGGTTTCTCTGTGTGGCCCTGGCAGTCCTGGAGCCCTCTCTGTGGGCCAGGCTGGCCTTGAACTCCGAGATCTGCCTGCTCTGCCTCTGCAGAGCTGGGATTAAAGGTGTGCACCACCACCTGGCCAACTCCATTTCTTCATTCCAGAAGGTCAAGAAGGAGCGTCTGGATTTCACAGCTGGGGGGCAATGGAGCCAGGCACAGATCGACACCCCTATCCTCAGGGTCTCCGTCTCCCACACCACGTGAACGCCAGCGCTTACATATAGGAAAACAACTTTATTAAGAAGGCTGTCAAGTCCAAAAATAAAACTCTTGATACAATTTTTTTAAACCCTTAAATCAGTTCAGCAAATATATAATCAGTGATTTAGCTGTCAAAGATTAAAGGTTCGTTGCTTTATTTAAAATAAAATATATTTTAGTTCTTAAAATTTATTCCATAAAGTACGTATATCTAATATAAATCCCTACATATACACAGGAAGTATGAAGTAAAAATAACAATAAAAAAAACTTTAAAAACTTTTTTAAAAAACAACAACAAAAAATCGCAACACTGAGTCTTAATTTAAAAAACAAAAACAAAAAAACACAACAAAAGTTACAAATTTGTTGATGGGACGCCCCTTGATACCCTCCCCTTACCCTCCTCTGGCCACCCCGTGGCGGATGTACAAAATGGTATATATTTGCCCCAAAAAAAGGGAGTGTGTGTCGGGGGGGGGGGGAAAAAGCCACCTGCCTTTTTCTGGAAGTTTCTACAAGAATCCACACTGTTAAATCCAGTGAGAGTTGTAAATATCGTGTTATTTTTTTTTTGTTTGTTTTAAGATCACCCCGGAAAGAAGGAGGGATGTCTTAATTAAAAAGTGCAAACAGGATTCTCCGGCTGTACTGTCACCGGCTCACTCAATACTGTCACTTGTCAAGAACGGAGGCGCTGCCGCTGGGCCGCAAGCCGCTGGCCGCAGAGACTGCTGCTGGAGTTAAAGCTGTTTGTGACACGCGTGGGCCCCTTTCCCTCCCCACCTCTCCCGCGCCCCCGCCCGGGAAAGCCGGGGCCGCCCCGTCGAGTAGGGGCGCATTAGGAAAAGATATGAATGGCTTGTGTGGCCGGCGTGCGGCAGGCGGGGCACTCGGGCTCACTCTTCCCGCAGATGCGGACGGCACAATCCATGCAGAAGAGGTTGTGGCCGCAGGGGACCAAGGCAGCCATGGCCTCACCTTCTGCGCACACCACACATTCACGAGCCAAGGCGGCAGCGGGTGGACCGGGGGCTGCTGCGGACGCGGAGGAGTTGGCCGCTGCGGTGGATGGCTTGTGGTTGCCCTCTGAGGCTCCGGCGTCCAGGGTGGAGGACACCGGCGCGGGGCTGGGCAGAGAGGGGGCCGTGGAGAAGGTGGTGCTGCTGGAGAAGGGCGGCAGCGCGCTCTGCGGGGGCCGCCACGGCACAGCACCTACTGGATCCGGGACGCCTCGGCGTGCCAGCGGCAGCTCCAGGCTGAGTCCTCCGGGGTCAGGCAGCGTGGGCGAGTGGCGCGGTGTGGTGGCGGCCCCGCTGCTGCTGCGCCGCGCGCCTGTGCTGGGTTGCGCGGGTGCCCCGTTAACCGCGGGGCAGCTGCTGAAGGCTGGCAGGGGTGCAGCTCGCTCGAAGGGCGCCCAAATGGCAGGCACAGTCAGGTCCAGCGCCAGGAAGTCAAAACCAAAGTCACAATCTTCAGGGGTGGCTGTCCCCGTCGGGGCTCCAGGCCCGTCCCCACCAAACGTGAAGCCCCCATTGCCCGAGCCCCCATAGGGGCTGCTGGGACTCGGGTCCTGCAGGGGCGGCCCTCCATGGCTGCCCACATAGAAGGGCTCGGGGGTGCTGGCTGCGCCCAGAGCACTGTCCCCACGCAGGCTGCTGGTGGCGGCGGGGGGCCTCCGTCCCGGGTGAGGTGCCTTTGCCCAGAGGCTGGCAGCAGCTCCCAGAAGGTCCAGACACACGTCAGTACCATTGGCGTGGAAGTCGCTGTCGGGCCCCGCGTCCGTGAAGGCCCCGGTGCGCAGCGTGATATGGGCCTCGATCTCTTCCCGAGCTCGGTCCACGTTCTCGGGCATCCCGGTCACTGCAAACACTGGCTCCTTGTCGCGACCCGGAGTCACGATGTACGTGTGCGTCCTTTGCTGGATCCGCTTAATGGTGGCACCCTTGGGCCCCACCACCAGCCCCACCACGCGGTAGGGCACGCGCACCTGGATGGTGGTCTGGCCGGGCAGGTTGGGGGGACCTGGGGTGGCCCCCGACAGCCCGCCTGCCTTGCTGCGCGTGGCTCGGATAAGCGAGAAGTGCTCAGCGGCTGACAGGATCTCACGCTTGGCCATCTCCACATCCTCCTTGCGCCCTGTCACAATGAAGACCGGCTCCTCCCCGCGCACTGGCGTCTTGATGTAGGTGTTGGTCTTGGCTCGCAAGGCCTTGATCTTGCATCCTAGGAAGAGGGAGACACGTGATCCAGGACGCCCAAGTGGATACACTGCCCATCTGACAGACGTTACACACACCTCCTACCCTGAGCCTCATTTCCATCTCTGGGCACAGAGAATCGGCCAGAAGAGCAAGCACGGCAGCAGGGAAGGAAGGCGGCTGGCTTGCGGGTTAGAGCCGAGTTGGCAACCATGCCTGAAGGCTGGAACCCCAATCACCAAGACCAATACGGTGGAAGGAGAGAACCAACTCCCACCGCTTGGTCTTTGACTGCCACTGTCTTGAATCTGCTCCCCAGGAATGAATGAATGGAGAGCACAATTTTAAAATGAAGGAAACCTAGTGTAGCCTCCTCAGAATCCACACCAGCTGTGGCCTGACTGCGTCCCCTCCCGGCCTTAGCGGAAAAGCAATAATCAGGCTAACAGGACTCAGAAGTAATGTCAGGAGCCTGCCGCCATCCTCACTGGGCTAATCACAATGCGGTGGCACACTTCTGCATCCCAGCACCTGAGAGGCTGAGGCAGGAGGACTGCCAGGAGTTCGAGGCCAGCTCAGGCTGCCTAGCGACACTCAGTCCCATCTCTGGCATTGTTAAAGTGGAGGAGGACAGGAGTTCACGGTGGGGCTCAGTTACAGGGAGGCTGAGGCCAGCCTGAGCTAACCTGAGAACCCCATCGGGCCAGTGTGCGTGGGTGAGGAGCTGAGGAACACAGCATCGGAATGTCCCAGGCCACCCGGCCTGTGGACCAGGGGACACCAGGGTCCAGTCTGATGGCAGACTCCTGAGCCATAACTCTGGGACTCTCCAGAAGGTCCAGGTCTTTGTCTATGGCTGTAGACGAGACTCTGCAGCTCTGGGGACTCCCCTGGGGGCAGTGCACCTGGGAGGTGGAGCAGGAACACTGGGTAGTGCTCCTCAGGGGGCAGCAGTGGGCCCAGCAAGCCCAGGCAAGTGTGCACCATGGCCACCAGAACAGGGTCTCCGGGACTCGGCAGTGCCTCAGCTATGGCGGTCACACCTCTGTCACAACAAGTGTGGCCAGAGTTTCCTGCCATCTCCAGTGCCAGGGGTTGAGAGCCTCTTTCCCTTATTTGGCTAACATGTCTTCTTCCATGGGACCCCCAAAGTGCCCCAGGCTTGCCCCTGATCTGGCTTCTGGAAGGCAGGAAGGGACTGGGCGTGGTTGTGGAACCCCACTACCTAGGGTCTTCTGTCCCCGACTTCAGGTGTTTGAACACCAAGGGCTTACAGGACAAAGCCTGGCTCATACACTGTTCCATATAAAGAACTGAGATTGAGATTCAGCTGTGGGAGACGGTGGCAGGCATGTGAACCTAGAGGAGGGGGAGGCAGGAAACCCCCAAACGCACGCACGCACGCACGCACACTCCAATCGGCAGCTACTCCTTGGCTGTGCCCACATGTCTTGGCCCAGATGGTAGCCTTAGGCAGGGCCCTAAGGACCAAGAGGGTACAAGGAGCAGGACATGTTGGCACACACCAGTCTGAGGCTGAAGAAGGACTGCCCCAAGATGGAGGTCAGTCTGAACTACAAACAGCTGGGACTGCAGGTCAGTGAGGAACACTGGCCTGGGGACCTGGTTCAGGGGACCCCTCCCCCCGTGAATGACTGGGGGCATGGCCTCAAATACCCTCCAACCCATTCTACATCTGAAGAGACTGAGGCTGTGGACAGCATGGTGCCGGGGACACCTTGGGTCCCTGTTTGCTCTGGTCAGGTGTGGAAGCCAAGAACAGGAACATCTTTTGTGCCCGGGGCAGAGCGTGCACCTGACCTGGCCCCGCGGAGAACACTGTGGGTGGGCACTGGGACACCACAGAATGGGAACCAAGCAGGGGACCGCGGTAGGTGATCTGTCAACTCAACCTAAGCGTACCTGGGAAGTAGGATCTCAACCGACAACCACAGTGATCAGATTGGTCTGTGGGTGTGATCTGTGGGGCATTTTCATGAATGATTGATGGGGGACCCAGCCCACGGTGGGTGGAGCCACCCCTAGGTGGTGGTCCTGGGTGCAATAAGAAAGCAGGCTGAGCAAGGCCTGGGGGGCATCTCCTTCCTGGTCACTGCCCCGGGCCCTGCCTGACTTCCCTCGATAGAAGATCAAAGCAAAACTTTTTCTCTCAGGTTGCTGCTGGTCAATGTTTTATCACAGCAATGAGGATGGGGCACTGGGCAGGAGTGGGGCTGGCATCTGTCTCCACATTCAGGCATGCAGGGTGCCTCCCCGGGGTCTGGGCCATTCACTCAGAATACATACACTTGTGTACCACACTGTATTTAAGAACATTTGCTTCGTGCCGGGGGGAGGGGCACCCCAGCACTCAGTGAACTCAGGGCCAGCCTTGCTGTTGGCCACTACTGACATCCCAAAATCTGGGTCCCAATTGCAGGTAGGGACTGAGCCCAGAGCTCCTGGAATTGAGTCCCAGCTCAGCTGTGCAGAGGACCCACCTCCAGGAAGAGGCGGTAGCCAGGTCTGGGACAAAAGACTACAGGCCTTGGTGTCTACACAAGGCACGGTGAGGGAGACGCACCAGGAGGAAGATTATGTGGGAAGACAGTCCAGGGTGGCAGAGGCTGCCTACACAATGGGACAGCTGGCTTCCTCGCTGACTTGTCCCCACCCTTGCCTTCCCCACTCCTAGCCATGAGCTCCCAGGCCCAGGTCCATTCTCAGCGGGCACGGAACAGGTAGACGATGACCAAAAGGGCAGGAGACACTGGCTCTGCCCCACCCACCTGTAACTAGGGAACATGGTCATGAGGTGTCCCCACCTGCTGGAGGGGCACAGCTGACCTTGCAATTCAAACCACACACATCCTCCATGGGCTACAGAGGGTCCAGGGATGTCTGAGCCCCACCCTAAAGTTCTTACAACCAGGTGGACCCCCCTCTCTGTGGGGGGTGCCCGGCGCAGAGTACTGTGGGTGTGTGAAGGGCCAGGCACTGCCCACCACCCTCCTGCCCGCCCCAGTAGCTCAAGGGCCAATGAGCAAAGGCTGGCCTGATGTCACCATGCGAATCTCAGCCTGGCTTTGGAACAAAGAGAACAATGGGAGGACAACAGAGACACTCCCCAGCTCCCCAGTGCTGCAGCAGGGACCCCCTACACCCTAGGCCTGCTGGGGGTCGGGATGTCAAGACGGGCTCCGAGGGGCTACACCCCACTGGAGAGCTGCAGCCAGGAGTCCTATAAACACCAGTTTCTCAAGCTCAGGGTAGGGCCTAGGGCTAGAGTTCTTTTCTCAGGCTAGGGCACCCTAGTCTGAACCCCTAAGGAGATGAGGGATGTACCTTCTAAGCTACACATCCTTCCTCACCCTCCGGGCACCTTCCCTGGGCTACCAAATCTGAACTGGCCCCGCCCCACGTCTATGGTGCTGGTGGGGGGTGGAGCACCCACCGCCCAGCCCTGGCTGCCACTTCTGAGGGGCCTGTGTTTTAGAGCGTCCCTAGCTATGTCGACTATGATTACCCCCAGGAACCCAGACAATGGCGGCGGCAGTGTCCACAGCTTGGGCTGTGCCCAACTTCTGCAGCAGCCGGCGGCTTTGAACAAAGGCGCCAAGGAATCCACCGAGGCCCACCCAGAAGCCACGCGAGGCGTGTCCCGGGGTCTCCTGGTCACATCCACTCAGGATTAGAATGAATGGGAGCTCGTTCCTTCCTCCCCCCG